AACTGGAATCCGAACAGTTGTTCTCCAGCTTCTGTTATCTGGAGATTCTGAGACAGGTTCCGTGCTTTTGACAAAGTTATCTTCATTGATTTCAGGTTGGGTTCTTCGGTGTCATCAATCGCCCCACTTGGCGCAAAAGGCTGATAGCTTGAACCATTGCTGCATCAATATCATCATCTTCCACCACCAAGATGTCTTGATCTCCAAGTTCAGGAGTGGGCTCCCCTCTCTGTCATGTTGCACGTTTCCATCCGTCTCCGTCGTAGTTGTGACTGCTTCTATTGTTTTGCCATCCATCCTGACTATTATCAATCAAAGAAAGCACTGTCTGTATTAACCAACTCACTACACAAAAGAACTCTCCCTTTATCCTGAACCGCGTGAGGCAGGTAGGGTTTCAGAAACCGAGACCCCGGACACCTTAAAGTAAGATTTCCAGGAAACTCTCACTTGTAATCCTAAACCGCAGGAGGAAGGATTAGGATTGAAACTAAACAGGCTAAACCAATCTATCCTTGCAAATCACAGGAACCAAAAGAGTTGTAGAGCTATTACCACCTCCCAAATTTCAGGAAAACCCTAAAAGGAGGACGACAAAACCCTAAATCCGAAACCCTCGCTAAACGAGAGAGAATATCCTACTTTTCATTCGCCTTATTGTTCAAACGACCCCATAATTATAGGCAAATGTGAAATCCTTAATGCTTATCATTCTACAAGGTGATCAATTGGAGTTTCAATGTGTAACTTTATAATATGAAGTTGGTTTATCCAATTTGTTCTTAATTGTCAACTTCTTTAATTTTATATACACTAAATTTGGTATTGTTGAAGTTGAAAAGAATGTAAGACACAACTTAGTTAAAAGTTTGTTTCACATATTCTGTTGATAGTTCACAAATTCAATCTTCCCTTCAAGAAGAAATAGAAAAATCCGTCGGCCAACGGGCCGGGCACGATTACTCATGCATTTTTATCAAATATGTTTATCTGCTATTTCTTACATCAAACAAGCCTTTCTGTTAAATTTTTCATCCAAAAACAATCAACTACGGTCAAATTACCATTTAAAATGAAAATATAGGTGAACCCGGCCTCAAGGACCAGTTGTCAGAGAATCTTCTCGAAACAAAAATGGAAAAAGAGAGGCCCACAACTATGGAAAAAATCCAAAACTACCACTGTTTTAAAAAAAATTACAAAAAAATACCACCCATTCACAAGAATTTCCAAATCTACCACTGGTTATTAAAAACCGCTCCACTCAGGGGCGGTTAAAACAGAAACCGCCCACCCAGGCCGCGGTTTACCATAGAACCGCCTGGTCGACAAGCGGTTTGCCTATTTTGGAAAAAAAGCTCTTCGAAGGAGTGGTTTTCATGGCTGCCCTACCACAAACCGCTCCCCCCCCCCCAAACGGTTTGTGCCTCGTCACTCGACATGTCCGCAAGCAGGAGGTTGCAGGGGTGGGGGCTGCATGCCAGAACGAAACCGCTCCCTCTGCGGTTTGTAGTGTAAAATTTTCCTATAAAAGACGGGTCCAGAAAACTCAAAATCTTCACTCCACTCCTCCTTCTTCTTCAAATTTTAGTTGTGCACCTTTAAATTATTTAGTTTTTGCGATTAACGTTAATTCGTAAGTTTGTTTTGTATTACTTTTCATTGTCATTTGTGATTTTTTATGTTAGTAACTTAATACAGTTTTATTGCAGATGGCATTCCAAAGGTTCACGCTTGGGTTGTGGTGGAATGGTTACACGGAAGAGACCGAAAAAGGGCATAAGTTACGTGGGTGGCAATGTTTATAAAATGAAGGTCCGTACGAGACCGATGCTTGAAGAGCTCCATCAAATGTGCACTGAGGTTACCTGCATGTATGGCACTAGAAGAGTTGATCGTATGGTGTATCAATATCCAAACAGACATGGCGGGTCGTTGTGGAATGAGGAATTCCTCATTACCACCGAGGAGGATGTTGATGCCATGGTCCAATTTTTGACCACCAATAAAATTAAACAAGCGGAGATGTTCGTTTACACCGAGGCGGTCGAAGGCGGTGTAGGTCATTCTGGAGATGGCCAAACATCTGGTATCCACGGTGGGAGTGTATTATACGAAGATCATCCCCACCAGGAGTACCAAGACTCGAGTTGGAGGCAGGAGTATCATGATGGAACTGGAGGTCATCATCAATCCTTCCCATCATATGAAGAAGAAGCTCAACAGGCGGATGGGAACCAACAAGCAGGCTACTAGTACCAACCCGAGTACAACTTCTACCAAAGCGGCGTTAGTTACCACAACTACCATTACGGAGATGGTGAAGGTGAAAGCCTTTCATGATGATCATCAGATGGAACTATGGAAGAAGAGGTCAATCCAAGTCCAGTTAGTGACCCTGAGGTTGAAGAAGAGGAAGGCGATGTCAGTGCAGACAGCTTTGATCCTCTTGAAGGTGCTGATGATTCCGGTACAGATTCAGACGCAGACGGTCATGAGGTACCTCGCGACCGTGTACCTATCCCATACTACAATCACATTCCAAATGAAGATTGGTATGTTGATGCCGACATGGACCCGCCAGAGGTGCCAGTATGGGGTCCACTCACTGGCTTTACGAAGGGCCAGCAATTTGCTCCCAAGTCCAAAATTAGACGATGAACATGGCCCCATCAATCTCCTTCACCGTTCTTGAACTAGCATTATAGAGGGAGCGGTAGAGATGAGCTAGGCAAGCAGATGCCCAGCTCAGGTATCCCATATCATCCCAACTTCCAAATATGATCTTCAACCATGAATTGCTGATTAAATTGTTGATTTTTTTGGGGAAGAAAACTCCTTCGATCATGCCGAGGATGTAGATACGTGCATAAATTCCTTTATCACGCTCCGAACTTTCCTCCGTGAGGGGAATGCCTCCGACCTCAGGGTTGTGCTTACGCCTGATCTCCGTTGTCAACCAAGTGATGGATACTTGGCCCTTGGACAATGGTGGATTACCATCCGCATCGTGATCTCCCTTTTCTGGCGAACACAACTCGGTGACGGTCCATATAAAATGCTGCCAACCACTCATATTGGCAACAACTTTAGCTGGTGGCGTAGAGTCCACACAAATAGCATCGCCATCGATGGGCAAATCGGTTAGGATGGCGATGTCCTTAAGTGTGATGGTGTACTCGCCTTCACGAAAATTGAAGCAATGTGTCTCCTTTCGCCATCTCTCTACCAATACTGTGATAAGTTGGCGGTCGATCTTTATTCCATTAAAGTGCCTAATCGGATCCAATCTTGCCCTTTTTAGAAAGGGCAAGATGACGTCGTTCCATTCAAGCACATTCGTCGTACCCTATAGCGGACTATGTGGTATGCATCCTAGAGAAGAATTTAACTTTCACTATAAGTTGATGATTTATACATATATAAATCTATTATAACAAACAATATAAATTAATTAAATCAAGGTTGTTTCCGAGAAATATACATTATCTAATAAACATTAATATTAAGCTAACTAAAATGAATATCATTTTTGAAATTTAAGTAAAATTATTTTTGTACACATACACATAAAATCAAATATATTATTTTGTATTTCGTATTGATTGTTTTCAATAATTTAAAGCAATACAAGTACACTCGTAAGACTCTTAGGAGAGATATACATCTCCTTAGAAACACAGTCTGTTTGACAGAAAAAGGGGGGGATCCGAGGATCGTTTAGAACCCGATTTTACCAAGTCATGGGAGGATCATGATGATCGCTTAAGACCCCATTTCCTTAGACATGCATTTCTTTATAAAGAGTCTAAATAAATGTTGTATTGATTTAAATTATTGAAAATAATCAATACGATTAACAATTAAGTAATCTATTGTACAAACAAATAAATTACGTTAACAAAATAAAAATTACAAGTGATGATAAATAATATGTACCTTGTGGTCGTTCCAAACGTCTCTTGAACGATGATTGTATTGATTGTATAAAATAGTCAGATCAATCGGTCCTTGATCAACATAATATCGTTGATTGTATATATTAACATCCGGTCCAACCTACGATAGCATAACAACAACATAAATCAATTAGTATATAAATTAAATAAACCATTATGACAATAACAAAAATTGGGTAAAATGAGTACGTACCACTTGATAATCATCATAGTAAATACCCTCTTCTTGGATAAAATCGGCCATTTTTTCAGGATCCGGACAGAGATTCAATGGTTTTTTAGTGAAAACCAAAGAAAAGTTTTTTGAAGGCATATCAGACTTATCCGCAACCAACAAAACAACTACTTCCAAGGTTTTTGCGTGGGGAGGGGATGGGTAGAGTGAGAAACTTAGAGAGAGAGAGGAGAATGGGGATTTGGTGTGCAGAAAATGTGAGGAAGGGGTGGGTTTATATAGGAAAGGAACCGCGTGCTGGAGGGGCGGTTTGGTCTTTTTACCCCACCAAAAACCGCGCCTCCAGCACACAATTTACGTTTCCAACGCGCAAACCGCGCTTCAGGGCAACGGTTTCCCATGGGAGACGCGGATCGCTCCGCTGGCAGGCGGTTAGGCCGTCAGATTGCCTGCCCATCGTGCGGTTGCATGGACCGCCACGTGGAGACGCGTTTTGTCAGTTGCCCAATGGCAAACCGCCCCTTGCCCGCGCGGTTTAAATGAGAACTGTGCCCCAGTAGATTTGGAAATTATTGGGAATGGGTGGTATTTTTGTAACTTTTTTTTAAACAGTGGTAATTTTGAATTGTTTCCCACGACTATGCACTAGATGAAACAATGAGCTACCAATTTTTTTGGTAGCTGATGATTTTTGGATGAAAATTTTAACGAAATGACATGTTTGCTATTTTTCCCAAAGTAAGGAGCATGTTTGATGTACAAATAGTAGAAAAACATGTTTGATAAAATGCATAATAGATGAGCATATTGTACCTATAACTTTACTTTTTATTGTTTTTTAGTGATAACTTTACTTTTTATTGTTTTTTAGTGATGGTGGCTTGAAAAATAAAACATAATTTATTTTGTTATTTTTGGTTATTTTTTAATTAACACATCATCTATGTTACAATCTTCGCCACTTATGATGATGTTAACGGAGTTAAATAACTAGTGACCAAAAATGAAACAAAATTTAAAATGAGAGACTAATAAAAGAAGAAACACTCAATGACAAATGGGGAAATTTTGATAAAATGAGTGATCAAATGTTATTTAGTATCAATTGCTACCAGAATTTCTTACATTACAATGTTACACATAGCCAAACTAGTTTTGCCTCCCCAATTTTCTCATGCCACCAGTTGCCAAGTTGCTGCGAACGCGTAATGGGTGTGGCGTTTCAAGTTTATATTATCTCAATGCTTGGTGTACCTTTCAAGCACTTCAAAGTAATCAGGGAAAGTTTTCTTTGTGCAGCCAGGGTCCCTTATTGTGACTGGTACATCAGCACAAGCAGCAAGGGAGAAAGCCATAGCCATCCTGTGATCGTCATACGTGTCGATTTCAGCAATGTTTAGTTTCTCGGGTGGAGTGATTATGCAGTAATCTGGTCCTTCCTCAACTGTCGCTCCCAGCTGAAACCCCAAATTGAAATTGTCAGCACAAACAAAGAAGAACAAAACCAAACAGTTTCTGGATCTTAGTAAACTTGGATGGGTTGAGAGAAGATTGCAGGTGTCGACCAACCTTCCTGAGTTCTGTGCAAATAGCAATCATGCGTTCCGTCTCTTTCACTCTCCAACTAGCCACTGCATATTGGACAATGTAAAGAGTTGTGGTATGAGACTATATATCTCCATGGAACTGTGAAAATGGTATCCAAGGATGCATGTAAAGCAAATCTAGTATCAAAGTTACTCAGATACGCAATTCAGAATTTACAGAATGTCGATGTTACATCCTTTGCATTATTGCAAGGAATTCGCCATCAAAGTGGACTTATCAGCTTGACTTTTGTGAGTTCAAGCCCGATTAGTTTTAGAAACAAAACAAAATTGTTTGCTTGAAAACCATATGGAGCATTCAACTTTGCATAGGTTGAATATAACAACTCACCATCTCTTATGGCAGTAGGTCCATCAGCATAGAGAGCAACCACTGCAAGAGTCATAGCAACGTCTGGCATTTTGTTCATGTTTACATCAACAGCTTTCAAATGCTTTCTACCAGAGGCATCTCGTGGAGGCCCTGTAACTGTGACACTATTCTCTGTCCATGTAACTTCAGCTCCCATTTTCTCAAGCACTTCAGCAAATTTTACATCACCCTAATTTTCACCCAACGAGAGAAAAGGATTAGATCGGATCATACACCTGAACCTATACATAATCCAATGACATCCATGTTACTTGAAGTGCGGAGGAACTTGAATGAGCTATAACAAACTAAAACATGTTTTTTTTTTAATCCTGACAATATACCATTTTCACTTCAAGGAAAAAGGAAGACGGGACATAGCATCTAGGCTGGCTAATTTTCTCATGATAGCAAAAGGATTTTATAGAAGATGCATGATTCAAGTACCTGTAAACTACTTGTTCCACAACCTTCAACAGTGATAGTGCCACCAGTTACGGCAGCCCCTGCTAGGAAGTAACTGGCACTTGAAGCATCACCTTCCACATAAGCATTCCCAGGAGACCTGATATTGATTACTCTTAGTATTTTTAATTATAGCAGCCCCCCCTCCTCCCCACCACATGCTTGATAATTTTGAAAAACTTACTTGTACGTCTGGCCTCCTTTGATAAAGAAACGATCCCAGCTACCACTGTGTTCCACTGTGACTCCAAACCGTTCCATCAATTTGAGAGTCATATCCACATAAGGTATGGAAATCAGTTTATCAATAATCTCGATTTCTACATCTCCAAGGGCCAAGGGAGCAGCCATAAGCAAAGCAGTCAAGTATTGACTACTAATTGACCCAGAAAGCTTAACCTGAAAACAGATGTGAGAACAGTGACTTAAATGCTCTCTTTGACTTCATTATGACAGATGAACCATGTTAAAGGTACTGTATCTTAGATACGGTCTAAGCAACAAGCGAATAATAAGAAGTTACTTGTTCTGCACCTTCCCTCCTGGTAAGCCTCCCTTTCCATTTACAAGAACAGGAGGACAGCTTGTAGAAGAACAAGCGACATCAGCACCAAGCTGCTTGAGACCAACAACCAAATCTCCTATAGGTCTCTCCCTCATTCGTGGTACCCCATCAAGGATGTAACTGAAGCATAGAGAGCAGGCAAGCCGGTGTTACTATTGCAAATTCATCACTAAGGTAATTTGGAAATGGTAATCTTGGTGTAGAGTTGCAGCAATGTTACTTGTAACAATCTCAATAATATTGTCTAAACCATTAATAAACCAACTTGTCTAAAACTAATCAAGTCATCAATTAAACAAAGATTTCTAAAGTCTCATTGTAGAAAACTAGCATCATTTAGAATACCATCAAGACGGAAAAGGGAGGAGGGGCGACCTTGAATTTCCACCGGCAGCAGTGACAGCTGCTGTCAGCGGTCGCATTGCTGTTCCAGCATTTCCAAGGAAAAGTTCGATGTCATTCTTTGCCTGCTTACCTACAGGAAACACACCACCACAGCCTTCGACAATGGCACGCTTCTGTTCACTGTTATGCTCCACATTGAGTCCAAGTGTTTTCAATGCACCAAGCATGTAATGAACATCATCACTATTCAACAAGTTGTCCACCACAGTTGTACCCTGGATCGTTAATTATGCAGTAAGATAACGGTGAAGAAACTATGAATTAACTAATACAGGCAAATATCATCTTCGATACTTAACTCTTCACCCCAAATGTACAAAACAGCTGGAGACTATGAGCAAAGAAACCTCGATATTGTTTCTCCAATCTAAGGGGAGATCACCAAATCTAACTACTGATATAGAAGGGGCAGTATTGAATCCATTCTTAAGAGACTCCTCTTCTTGGATGTTCCTGATTCATTCCTACCGCCAACATATCCTCAAGCATTCAAACAGGGAAAAGAAAGTAGCTCAACAAACAAGAGCCCAGAAGAATTCTCCATACCTCAGAGAGTGCAGCCAGAAGAAGAATCCGATTGGACAGAGACTTAGAACCGGGCAAAGTGACAATGCCGGATATGTCCTTGATTGGCTGCAACACGATCTCCGGCACCTTAGAAGGTTTCTCGGTAGTGGCAACCGAAGCCGAAACCCGAAGAGGAGGAGGAGCGGTAACTGCACCCACATTACCCAATCGTCGACATTGCTTTAAACCTGCAAACCTTGAAGACCCAACAGAGTGCGACCGAAAGGAAACCCACGACGAGAGGGGTTTGGGGCTTCGAGTTTCAGATAGGATGGGAAAACAACCCGGGCTTTGAGCTCCGCTGCAGATTTTGGTAACCTGCGCCATTACCTCACACGAAATTTGAAATTGCTCCACTTTTTATTTCTGAAAACTGAAGAATTCCCGTGGCACCCCTTGAAGAAGAGGGATCGCGAGAACAGGGGAAAAGAGGGAAATTTGAGGTTTGGTGAGCTTAGTTGGTGGGTAGCTCGAGCAAGTATTGACTCGGATTGGGTTTCTTTCTGATGTATGAAACTTCACCAACCAACTTCCGGTTGGCAATATATTCGTGTATGGTGGAGCCTGACGAAAGGGTTGTTGAGTTGAGTGGGTAGCTTTTAGAAATTCGGCAGCAGCAGGGTGGCAGTGGTAGGTAAGGTGGACAATGGACTGATATGGAAAAATTTTCCTGGGGAAGACGAAAGAACGAAGATGAAGGGAGATGCCCTCTTCGGCTTCTTTTCCTTTCTCACTTTGAATGCGGGCTTGGTTTGGGCCGTTAATAGTTAAGTAGTAAGTCCAGTTAACAGACCAAAGCCCAATACACGAATATGAATCTAAAAATAATAATGGATAAATGCCACATTTGGTCACTGGGATTACTATATCGTGTTATGTTTAGTCACTAGAAAATATTAATATCAATTTTGGTCACTCAAATTACTAAAACAGGTAACATTTAGTCACTCTCCCGTTAGCCTTCGTCCAAAGCCCAATACACGAAATATGAATCTAAAAATAATAATGGATAAAAATACCACATTTGGTCACTGGGATTACTATATCGTGTTATGTTTAGTCACTAAAAAATATTAATATCAATTTTGGTCACTCGAATTACTAAAACAAGTAACATTTAGTCACTCTCCCGTTAGCCTCCGTCCAACTCCGGTCACTCGAATTACTTTTTTTTATGAATGTCACTCGAATTACTGAAACATGTCACATTTAGTCACTCTTTGTTAGCCTCCGTCCAACTCCGTTAATGAAGTTGGACAGAAACTAACGGGAGAGTGACTAAATATGACATGTTTCAGTAATTCGAGTGACCAAAATTGATATTAATTTTTTCTAGTGACTAAACATGACATGATTTAGTAATCTCAGTGACAAAATGTGGCATTTACACAAAAAATAATTATTTGACTTTAGCCGACCTAGCTCAACTTGGATTCGGCAGCTGGTGTGAGCATTATTAAGAACCATTCAGATTATACCATCGACATGGCACTCTTGCTAGATAGTTACTCACTTGCTTAACCTTGACTGGGAAGTGAAAGTCTCCCACGTGTATAGAGAAGCGGATGGGTTCAGGTCATTAAGGCCAAATCCTTAAGGAGTTCCTTAAGTAATTTTCGGCCATCAGATCATTTTTAATTAGTTAGTGGTTGTTGAGCCGTTTTTAGGCAGGTAAGGGTAGTGTTGGTATTAGGATTTTTAAATTAATTAATGATTGTAATTTTATTAATGACCTGCCGTTTACTTACGTAGCATGCGTAGGGTTTTATTTTCACTCTGGGGTCGTTTGGATTAGGAAATTGGGAGAGGGATTTTGTTCCAATTCCTGTCCTTCCAGAATTTCACCAAATTGTTGCGTTTGGTAAGTTTTCATTTGTTCAGGGATTTTGACTATTAGGAATTTCAAAATTCTGCCATTTAAGAATTTCAAAATAGCTGATGTACCCCAGCTATTTCAAAATCTCTGGTTTTTTATTTTGTTTTTCCAACCCTTGCCCTCTTCTCTCATCGACTTCATAACAACCAACGCCGTGCCTCCTCCTCTTCTCCCTCCCTGCTATCCTCGGCCTCGCCGGAGCCTCACCAAATCATCTTGCTCCAACTTCCTTTCCCCTGTCTCCCTCACCGTCAACACAACCAAAGCATCTTACTCATCTCCCTGAACGTCGACTTCCGATGTCCCTCTCGTCCCTCCTATGGTCTTCAGCCGCACCACCGAAATCGCCGGAGTCAACGCCACGTTGAACACGAGAAAGAAGGAGATCGGAGATTCCAGGGATTTCTGGGTCCCTTTGTTCTGGGTTTTCTAGGGACGGTTTCTTCTTTGCTTTCAGGTGATGGCCACCACAGCGAGGACTTTAGTCCTTCCATTTTGTGTTGTTTGTGATGCGACTACAGCGAGGATGGCGACGATCTGGGGAAAAGATGATCGATGGCGCGAGTCCTCCGTTTCTGTACTTTCCGGTGATGGCGACCACAACAAGGATGTTGACGATCTGGGGAGCAGACTATTGATGGCGCAAATCCTTCCGATTCTGTGTTCCGGTGATGGCGATGATTTGGGGAGAAGACGATCGGCGGCGCGAGGAGATCTAGGATGCCTAAGATCCTTGCGCAAGCAGATCTACGTTTCTACTACTTCATCCTCTTCGCCTTCACAACACCGCAACCGTCATCATCGAATCCAAGCAGATCTGGAGCAGGGCAACCACGAATATGGGAGGGGAAGGGTAGATGGCGACTTTTGTGTATCTTTCGCCTTGGTTTCATCGACGCCGGGAGGGGAGCGGAAAAGGTACCTGATGTCGAGCCGATCGACGGTGAAGCTAAAGAAAGGCAGAAAGAAGAAGAGGAAGGGGAAAGTGAAGGGTAGGGGCTAAATCGGCTTTTCTCACTTTAAACCCAATATCTTGATCTGTAAACAAACACATAATTTTGGCTAAATTCTTCATATAAAATATCTAGGTTTTTAATTCAGGAATTTGGGCAAAAATCCCTGCCAAATCCTGATCCTAAATTTCCTAATCCAAACGACCCCTCTAGAGTTTGTGGTTATTCTCTGCTTCCGACGGCGACCACTCACGTTGACGTCCCTTCTTCCAGGGGCGACCGGGCATTGACGTTGACGTCCCTGCTTCCGATAGCGACCACACGTTTACGTTGAAGTCCCTTCTTCCGGCGGCGACCAGGCGTTGACGTCCCAGTTTTGGTTATTCCCTGTGACGTCCTAGGGCACGTAGACATCTACGACATTAAACTTTCACGGCGGCGGTCTCCATTACACGTTCACGCCGTTGACAATCAACCTAGCCACCATTTTTGCAGGTTTGATCGAGGAGCTTTGAGGAGTTTATCCCGACCCGCCATACGACGGTCTCCATCTCACGTTCATACCTCGTAGCTTCGCGGCAGGTAAGGTCTGTTTCGTCATCGTTAATCGAAATTGTTTAGGTTATTAACGTAGTAGTACTTCTGATTAATGTGGGTAGTAGTTCTTATATTTGCATATGTTTACATACATGCACATATATATTGAGTGCGTTGCTTAGTTTTGGGCGCTAATATATGAAATCAGAAGCTAGCTTTTTAAAACTACCATAAGATACCCTTTGGTTGTGTCGATATGCATTATATAAGTAGGAGTAGTCACCAAGAAGTAAATCTAGCTAGGTTTTTGTCTGTTTTGTCATCGTTAATCGAAATGGTTTAGGTCATTAACGTGGTATGTGGCTTTTATGTGTGGGTATTAAATTGATTATATATGTTATTGAAAGTCTGTTTTGTCATCGTTAATCGAAATGGTTTAGATTATTAACGTGGGTAGTAGTTCTGATATTTTTATTATTGGCATTTTAATTAAATCACGAACTTTTTATATATAATTTGAATGTGTTATTAACATTTTCAGCCATCATTTTTATTGTAAAATGTATTTGTTATTAACCGATAATAAGTACAGTTACATTTTGATGTGGCAACTGTATTTATGAAATTGCACATGTTGTTAACAATCTAATTCACCGTTTTGTTAATGTGAATTATGTAGGTTATCAACATCATGGCTCGAACCAAAAACACCTCCCCTAAGACTGTGCCGCACAAAGAAACACTGAGAAAAAGCTGATCGGGTCAGATGAAATTAATAGTGATAGACTCAGCCATAGATGTAGTATGTCTCAGGTTATAAAGATGGTGGAAAATATTACTCATGCTCGAGTTGCTCTAATTCAGGGGTATGGATTTGGTTTTGTGTTGAATTTGGCGATGCACAACATTGATCAGGATTACTTGAGGATGATTGCACAACATTTCGATCACCGGAATATGTCTTTTAGTATGCCAGGCGGGCAAAGGTTACGCATCACAGAGTCTGATATTGCACGCGTTTATGGGTTGCCTCAGGGTACTAATTCTCTTCAATTTGATTACTTTCAAGCGCATACCTCTAAAAAGTGGGCAGAACGTCTGGGCATACGTCATGTCGGCCCAGAGAATGTGAGGTTGATGAAGTTGAAAGAAGCTATGAATAGGACTGATGATGATCAATCGTGGGTGCAAATGTGCATCCTCCTGACACTTGGATATTTGCTAAACCCCAATGGTGGAATGCGGGTTCATCATCAGTACTTGGGATTTATGAGGGGACGCTTAGTTGACGAGTTTACAAAGTACAACTGGTGTGGGCATATGATCAGTTGCCTGCGTGAGGCTTTTATGGGCAACAAATCGAGGGTGTACGTGGAGGGGGATGTTCACTTCCTCATTTGCGCTTTTCTGGATCGGACAGCTGTCCTTGGTGGAGAGGGGTCTGTGACTACATTGATCCCCAGTTGTTCGTATTGGGCAGATTCTCATGTCTCAACACGCAAGTCAGAGGTGCTGCGGAATGCTAGTGAACTACGAGTTGTGCCCATACTCGAGACCTCTCAGCCTATGACTAAGACTTTTGTTGGCACTACAACTAAGGAGGATAATACAGTAGCTACCACCCAGCCTGAAGTATTGGAAGTCGCTAGGAAGGTAAGGTCGGAGGCGATGCGTGACAATGAGGAAGAGCATGAGGGTTCTTTGGGGTCGGGATCCATTTTCGGGGCCTTGTGATTGAGGCTTGACCACATGGAAACTAGCGAGGTAAGTTCCACCAAATTTCAAGATTAGGTCGGTTCTTATATTAATTTTAACATGTTTGTTGTTATTTTTAACTATCATATTCACTGTTGTTAACCATTATGCAAACATTATTAACATACATGTTACGAATAGTTATCATTACCCATTATTAATTAGTTACATTATTTTTTACATTTAGATTGTGGCTATGCGGGACAATGCATGTATGTCACTAGATGTGTTGCGTAGTCAAGCTATCTTGCTACGTCGTGTAATCAGAGTCTGTAAGGTTGAGCTTGATAAGCGTGGGGCTGAATCGTCGGATTCTGATGAGGAATCCCATGGTCGGAATGAGTCTCTATCCCAGAACGACAATGCTGGTAAGATACTTCTTATTTATGATTCAAATATCATGTTTTGCTCCGTATAAAATTGTTTTTCCCATCATCTGTATTGGCATGATTATTATTAATCGTATCCGGTTCTTTCAGTAATAAAGGATAAGGAGGTGTCAATGCATCTCAAGAGGGGCTTGCATTTGACCATGAGTCTCTATCCCAGAATGACGATGCTGGTTAGATACTTCTTATTTATGATTCAAATATCACGTTTTGCTCCGTATAAAATTGTTTTTCCCGTCATCTGTATTGGTATGATTATTATTAATCATATCTGAATCTTTCAGTAACAAAGGATAAGGGAGGTGTCAATGCATCTCAACCGGGCTTGCGTCTGACCATGAGTCTGCGTCCCAGCTACGAGGATTATCTGATATTGGTGCAAACGATGGTACAGTCGGTAAGTAATATAATTCCGAAATCTATTTGTTTTAATTATGCGCCTCATGTTTGAATTAAAGCATGTGAACTGTGCTTTGATTATTAACATGCTGCCTATTCATTATTATTCAAATTCAAGGGATTTTTAACATCTCCACACCTAATTATTAATTTTTAATTTTGAGGTGGGGATCACGAGAATGCCAAAGATCATCTTGAGCCTATTGATGATGCTGCAGAGTAAATAGTGGACCAACCTGTGAAGACTCGTGTATACAAACGAAAGAAGAGATCTCGGCCCTTAGTTGTACCCTCAGATGACGATTTTGAAACCAGGCCTAAGAGGGATCTCAAAAAGTCCAAATATATAATATCGCCATTCACTGCAAATCAATCCAAGGTAGTTGCTAAAGTTGTACCTGTTAAGGAGAAGGGAGTACCTCCAAACGAGAAGCAACATGAGGGTGTTGAAGAAGTGCCTGCTAAGGAGAAACGTCAATGATCTAAACCGAAGCCTATCGATGTTTTCTACATTGACGGGGATTTATGGGAGGACCTGGCACTTTGTTATGCTTGGCAAGGTCCAGGGGAATGGTACACTTCTACCTACACGCCTCCAATTTCAAGATATCTATTTCTCTACCAAATTTATTATTTACTAATCCACCATTTCTTGATGTTTTCTATTTCCCCATATAGGAATGAAGAGTTGAGAAAGGTGCAGGATAACACTATTTCCCTCACAAAGATGGATACAAGGTCAACAATCCCTGGTTCCTTTATAGAGGATAGCTTTGTAGATTGTTATCTAGATTTTCTCAACCGTGCCGAGGTTCGTAACACTAATGGGGTGGTCGGTAGATGGATTTTCTCATGCCTATTTGTGGTAAGTGTATTACCCGAACTTTTAACTCCATAATTTTCTTGACCTTTGTGGCTAACCCCATCCTTCTATCGTTCTGCTTGCAGCAAACACTAATTGCAAGAATGGATGAGAGGTAGCACAACTAAAACAGAATTTTTTCAATAATAGCATCTATTAATTTTTTTTACAAAAATAGCACCCATCCCACAACATTTACAAAAATAGCACCATTTTTATCAAACTGCACCTCCAAGGTGCGTTTTATAAATAAACCGCACCCTCCAGGTGCGTTTTATGTATAAACCGCACCTTGGAGGTGCGTTTTAGTCCACCTCATGCTGAAAACCGCACCTTGGAGGTGCGGTCTGTGTTTGGTGGGCAGCGGCCTTGCGGACCGCGGGATGAAGAAGCGATCCAGTGGCGGACCGCTTGCCAGGTCAGCGATTCATGCCACAGATCGAAGACCGTAGCGCCGAGGTGCGGTCAAGCTTTGGGGAGCGTAAACCGCCTCGGCAAGGTGCGGTTTTGACTGGGGCTAAATTACCAGACCGCCCCTGGAGGGTGCGGTCTGATGGGTATAAATACCCCCTCCCCCCTCTCATTTTTTCACACCACAACCATTCTCCACTCTCTCTCTCTCTAGAATTAGCTCTCTAGCCCCTCCCCTCCCAAAAGCCTAGGAAATAGTGGTCTATTGGTTGCGCCTAAGTCCGATCTACCATCAGAAAACATTTCTTTGGTTTTTCCCTCAAAACCCGCCCGCCGAATTTCTGTCCGACGCCGAATCTTTGTCCGACTTTCGCGAGAAAATGGACGAATGGTTCCAAGAAGATGGAGTTTATTATGATGAATTTCAAGCGGTACGTAATCATTGTTTTGGTCAATTTTTGTTTTTGTTATAAGCTTTTTAATCAATCTATGTACTAACCTTGTTGTTATTCTCTCGTAGGTTGGGGACGACGTGAATATATACAACCAACGGTACTATTTGGATCAAGGGCCTATTGATCCGACCGACTTGTATGGCCAACCCAACTATCGTTCAAGGGATGTTTGGAACGATCACCCGGTACATACAATTCTTCATCATTTATCTTTTTTTATTTTGCTAATGTACTTAGTGGAATATAAAATAAATTTGAAATAATTTAATCGTATTGGTTGTTTTCAATAATTTAATCAAATACATAGCGCCACTTACTTCGAATCTTTATAAAGAGATGCACGTCTACGAAAATGGGGTTTTAAGCGATTATCATGATCCTCCCATTTCCTGGGAAAATCGGGTATTAAGAGATCCTCGGATCCCCCCTTTTTCTGTCAAAAAGGCTGCATTTCTAAGAAGATGTATACCTCTTCTAAGAGTCTAACGAGTGTTGCATTGTATTCGATTAAATTATTTAAAACAATCAATACGATTAAATTACTTACCAAACAACCAATAAAATTTATGTTTATATGTACTTGAATTTATTAATTTCAAATGTTTGAATATGTATGTATCTCTTTCAATTATTATTCATTTAGAATGTTATTTATGCCAATTAATTTAGTATGTTTGTTTTATGATAATATGTATATATCTTGGAAAAAACCGCAAATTACTTAAATTTTTTATTGTTAATAATATAATTATAATAGAAATATATTCGAAATTAAATTATTAATTTTAATTAATTTAGTTATAAGACTAAAATATTACTTATATATCATAAATAATTTTAATAATGGTTGAAATTAAATCATTAATTTTAATTAATTTAGTTATAAGACTAAACTGTTACTAATATATCATAAATAACGTTGAAATTTTTGCTAGGAGGCACAACAAATACTCCGCTACAGGGGTACGACCAATGTGATCCCATGGAACCCAGTTATCTTGCCCTATCTCAAAAGGGCACGGTTGGAGTCGATTAGGCATTTTCTAGGCATAAAAGTCGATCGCCAACTCATTACCGCATTGGTGGAGAGATGGAGAAAGGAGACACATTGTTTCAACTTTCGCGAAGGAGAGTGCACCATCACACTCAAGGACGTCACCATCCTAACTCATCTGTCGATCGACGGCAAAGCGGTGTGTGTGAGTGATCACCCCCCGGGGATCGTGACGGTATGACCGGTTGGCAGTATTTCATCCACAGTGTTTTGGGGGTGAAAGTACCAACCAAGGGGAGCGTTGATGCGACGGATCGCTTGCTACCATTGAGGAAAGGCCAAGTATCAATCACTTGGTTGACGAAGTATTTTAGGGACCATCACGATCCTGAAAAAGATGGTGTGCCCCTAACCGAGGAAAGTCCGAAACTGGAGAAGGAAAGATATGCTCGTGCCTATCTCATGGGCATGATAGGAGGAGTGTTCTTCTCCAAAAAATCGAGCAATTTAATTAGCTGTGGATGGCTTAGGATCCTCCTTGGTAGTTGGGATGCGATGGGGGAGTTGAGCTGGGGATCCGCTTGCCTAGCTAATATCTACCACCACTTGTGCAACGCATCTCTCAAAGCTGTGAGGGAGGTCGGTGGCGCAATGTTCATCATCCAGTTTTGGGCTTGGGAGCATCTGCCATGGATTGCACCGCTCCAATGTCCCAACAGGAATTGGGGTCCCGATCATCCCCTAAGACTCGAAGCTTGTGGTTATAGGTAAATTTCTCATACCCCATCATGATTTTATAACACAATTTTCCTTAATTTTTAGCTTATTTTAATTGAGTGTAATTTTATTATCGTCTTATTAATAAGGTGGGTTGGAGCCTCAACATGCGACAACCTTGCCCAACACAAATTGGTAGAGTATCGGAGGAGGCTAGAGCGACTTTGGGAAGGAGAGGTAACTAGAACGCTTCTAAGTGCTATAACTTTTATTTCATGGAGTACATGTATTTTTCCAATCAGATTTAACTTAAGTTACTAATATTTTTTTGTAGATCAAATTCGATCCATACCCGGCGAACATCGTTCATTGGCATCTACAGCAATTCCCCGAGAATATCGGACAATGGTGCACGAGGGTCCCTCTCATTTGTTTAGGGACCGTGGAGTGGCACCTGCCGGATCGATGCCTTTGTCAGTTTGGTCGGGAGCAGTGCATTCCGTTGGAAGTCCCCGAGAGTCAAAGGGCGTTTCACGGTCGAGATGGTCGGCAAGGTACTCACGATTGGCCCACGAAGTTGGCGGAATTGATCGCGGTATGGGAGAACAGACAACTTCAGGATATTGTCACTCCAACAAGTGTGGGTCGAATGGGGTATCATGACCCATACATGGATAGATATCGACAAACATCGGTTCGGTACGTGACTCCGGAGGGTGCGGCCGATGGTGCATTGGTAAGTATATTCCGTCTAATAAGATTAAATTTATTGCTTGTTTCATTCTGTCACATCATTAGTCTTATCTTGCTAACCTTTTTTGTGATTTAGGTTGATGGGATCGAGCGGATCAAAGCGTTGACCCATGGGAAACATGAAATGGGACATGAAGATGTGAGCTTAATCAGGAGGATGACTTGAATGCCCAAAAAAGTCGTCTGAAATGGCGTTTGTTACCTAGCTTTGGCGGTTGTACCTCTTCATCTTGGTATCGACGGGAGAAAACAGTGTCAGGGTTAGACGCCTCCAGTGCCAAAATCAACCTGGGAAGGAATGCATATGATTCTTCCCAATCACCATATACCGCGGCCAGAGCTTTCTGCTTTCCATGCCACGCCTTCTTATAGTTAATCATATAACCATAACGACTTGCAATGTCAGCGATTATGACTTTCACCTTCAGGTCAGGATCTTGCTCAATTAGATGCTTGATAGCCGCAACAACGGGATATGACCCAATGGTCGTGTCTCTTGCTGTTGATGGCCCGGATCCTAACATTGCATCCCTCGTTATGATTACGGCATCTGACTATGAGCATTTCCGTGTTGGAATGAGTTGTGTGCCATTCAAAATGCCGAGTCATTGCTTCATTATCAATGGCGTGCCGCACCTCCTTCTTCAAGCCAAATTGTTGGCCCTTCATAAACCCAGTGAGTGGACCCCATATTGGAACCTCCGGCGGTTCCATGTCGTTGTCGACCATCCAATTGCCGTTTGGAATGTGATTGTAGTAGGGGACTGGTACACGGTCATGAGCCACCTCATCATTATCTGAGTCTGACTCTGGTCCAGAATCATCAGCACCTTCAAGAGGGTCGGAGCTGTCTACACTGACGTTGTTCTCTCCTTCTTCATCGGATGGGTCACTGACTGGTGCTGGCAGGCCATCTTCCATCTGATCCAGCTCATGAAAGGCACCTTCATCAGCTCCATAATGGTATTTGTGAAAACTACCACTGCCTGATTGGAAGTTGTACTGGGGTTGGTTGGCATGGTCCGGTCGAACTTCTTCTTCATATGACAGGTAAGATTGATGATGACCTTCACCTTGCTCTTGGTACTGAAAATAGGAATGAGGATCATAGTAACTTTGGTAGGGATGATCTCCATATAATTCACCTCCACCATGGATACCAGATGTTTGACCGTCTCCAGAATGACCTCCAACACCTACGACCGGCTCGGTGTAAACGAACATCTCGGCTTTGGAAAGTTTGTTGGAACTCAAGAATTCGAGCATGGCATCTACCTCATCCTGAGTGGTGATTAGATATTCCTCGTGCCACAACGACCCGCCTTCTCTGTTTGGATATCGGCACACCATACGATCAACTCTTCTCGTGCCATCCATGCAAGTAACGTTAGTACACATTTGATAGAGGTCTTCAAGCATCGGTCTGGTAGCGACCTTTATTTTCTGAAAATTGCCACCGACGTAGGTGACCCCCTTTCCGCTCTTTTCCGTGTAACCATTCCCCCAAGCGTGAACTTTTGGAATGCCATCTGCCAAAAAAAAAAAAACAGTAGTTCAACAAATATCATAAAAATCACAAATGACAATTCACAATAAAAAGTAATACAAAATAAACTTACGAGTTAACGTTAACCGCAAAAACACTAGAGAAATATGGAGCTACAATAGAAAATTGAAAAGAGAGAAGGAGAGGTGTGAAGAGAAGAAGATTTTCGAGGTTGCCTTTTATAGGCAAAATCATCAATGAAAATCGCACCTTAGAGGTGTGTTTTTCATCTGCCATGCAGCCCCACGTCTGTGAATCTGCATGGTTGCTGGTCTGGTGTCGGAAAATAATTGACACACAAACCGCATTGGGAGGGTGCGGTTTGTTTTGGACAAGCAAAACCGCACCCTCAAGGTGCGGTTTTGGTAGGTCAGACCTAGACCGCATCTGGGCCATGCGGTTTGGTTAGGTCAGACCACAAACCGCATGGCCAAGATGGGGTTTTGGCCCAGACAACTAAAACGCACCAGGGGGTGCGATTTACATTAAAAACGCACCTTGGAGTGCGGTTTTTTAAAAAAGGGTGCTTTTTTTGTAATTTCTACGGAATGAGTGCTATTTTTGTAATTTTTTTTAAAGGTGCTATTTATGGAAAAATCCCAACTAAAACATGGTCAAGAAGCACCGGTGGAGTTGACTCAACAAGAATATCGCAATACATTGATTGATGAATTCCTCCTGTACCCATGGTTGGAAGACAAGACATTCACGAAATGCCAATTCGTATGTATCATATCCCTTCTTTTATACGTACTATGGTTATTATCAACCGGAGCTGACATTGGTTATTAATACGGTGTTCGCATATTATTAACAAATTATCCGCGATTATTAACAGCTATTAGTAATAACGTATAAGAGATGAGATTATTAACAGCTATTAGTAACAACTCTTTCCTATGTATTTAGGCTATTACCAATGGGAGGCAACTTTAATTTTAAATATATACCTCGCCTGTTAATAACAAATGAATGAATATTATTAACATATTATGTATTCACTTGTCGTGCAGTGGTTCTTTCTCCTCTGTGTTAGCAATCACTATGTCGTGTACTATGTTGATTTACTGCACAAGGAGTTTCAATTCATGAATAGTCTACCTCATGAATGGGACGACAATTCGCGCTATCTGACCATAGGAAGGGAGTTGGTGAAATATGTCCATGCTTTCGTTGGGTGGGAGGTTAACATGATATACAACTTTGAAGAGTTCCCTTGGAAATTCGAGCTCTGATTCAGACAAAACGACTTTATTTCATGTGGTGTTTTTGCTTTGAACTTCATTGAGTTTTGGGTAGGAAATAGGAAGCGCGGTTGGAAAACCAGATGGGTAGACCTGAACTATATCAACAAAAGGAGGGCAGAGTGTTGCAAACGCTTATTGCTTGACCCGGCGAACCTCAGGCTGCTATATTTGGAAGAGATGGTTGCCGAGAACATAGATGATCTCCTGCAGATTGGTAGCCAGTGGTCACCAGAGTTATACTAGAAACTATTTATTTATCCCATAGATTTGTCAGCCAATTTTTTTTCATTGGGAGCACAGTTACTAGAACGATCTTGTTTTTGTTGCTTGAATTTGTTCACAGATTATCAGGATATTGATTTCTAGATTCGCAAAAGGGGTACGTCCTTATCATAGCGCCAATTATCAGAATTGAATCTGGTTATCAGTCTTGATAGCATCCCTTATTAACATTTTCACCTGTTTTTATTAATGCTCGTGTAGCTGATTAGTATTTATTTATTGTTAATGAAAATTTCTAGGTTATCAACTAGTTAATGAAGCAATTATTAACGACACACTGCTCACGTTACAAACATGAGCCATGTTTCGCTTATTAATGACCATCATTGTTAATCAAAATAGTCTACATTATTAACTAGTACCTGAACACATTATTATCTTTGGTCTGAACTCATTATTAACGCCATAAGTTGACAAACGATTATCATTCTTTAACAAGTATTTAAAACATTGTTAATCAAGATCACTTATCTTATTAACTAGGAACTTAGGTCATTATTAACGCACTTCATTAACACCTGTTTACGCCTGTAAACAAAGCAGCACGATATGGTTAATACTGCTGACCATAGTTTCATTGATAATAATACCAAAACGTTGTCTTCTAAACTTCTCATACAGCAAAACCAAAACTGCAGTCTCCCTACAAATAAACATTTATAATGTTCACCGACTATTTAATGCACTCATTCACCAGAAGTCTGTAAAAATATAATTGTTCTCTTCCGCGCCAACTTCATAAACATCAGTTTTTCTTCTTCTTTTCCATTCCTGATTTCATTTTCTTCCTCCTCTTCTCTCGAATAAACTCTGTCATACTCTTCTTCCTTTTCCGTGTTCTAGTCAAGTCTGGTCTCTCCTTGAAGGTTCGGGGGTGTCCATTCTTCTCCCTCCACATTTGAATCTACATTAACTTAGCATGAAGTTTAGCTACCCACCTTCCCTACAAGTAATTAGTAATCAAAATTGAATATTTAAATCACCTGGGATAGTAGGGGGTGCAAGGACTGTCTTCAGCATGTTCTCCGTTTAATCTTTTATTGTGGTCAAGCTCTGCAACAGGAGCTCGTATTTGGTATCATGCATGCAGACATTTGTTGCAATAGTGTTAACCATTCCTGTAATCTCCCGAACTCGAGAACATTGGATGCCTTCATAGGTAGGCTTCGGCTGATACTGGGCCATTCCATCCTTAGTCTTCACTGTACGCGACCATCGATCCAACAAGTAACGGGCCGGGATCGTTGCCAGCTGTGGGTATTGTCCATACCCCAAAAGTTCCATTATTCTCAATATGTGCCGACACAACCAAACATGGGTCTCGAATTTCCTGCATGAACACTGCAGTATGCACTCATCCAAATCCACCAGTATGACCCTCTCGTCCAACTGCGACCCATCATCCTCCATCTTGAAAACATCATATGCTTGCATGTCATTTTCAGTTCTCTCATCATTTTTACTGTAGCGATAAGCATGACTATTTGCATACTCCTCTTGGAAGTCTTCAAACACATTTGGGGTGTAAAATGCAGCGGCCTGTTTGAGAAACTGACTTTGGTGCACCTAAAAGAAAAAAAGAACCAAGCATGAATCATGACTTGTTAATAACTGCTAGAATCATTCTTAATATATCATGTAGATACGGTTACTAATGACGTGCAAACCGTTACTACTTGGAAGAAAAAACATACCACAATACGTTGCAACCTCTCCAATGCACTGAAGTCATTCTCTTGCTCCTGGGCTCTTTTCGTGTCCAACATCAACTCAAACTGGGTGAAAAATTGGTGGAGGTTGTTGTCGGAAGTCAGGTACTCGAGAAAGATGGAATTACACGACTCACTACGTTGTGAACTCCTCATCCCTCCACTGAATTGTATGTTCACCCAAGTCGATGACCATTGCTTCCTCAATTTCAGAGTACGATTTCACCATGTATTGTGATCCTTTGGTTTGTCCGGAAAGCAGGTAGTCATCATCTCGTCCCAAACGTATTCGAGCTCTTCTTCATTCTGAACATCATACATCAATTGGCTTATACATTCAACCACTTTTCCCTTCCATATCTTCTTGCCCTTGCCATT